GCTGCTTAAGTGCTTACTGGGAGCATTTCCTGTAGTTGCATTGAAGCAGCTATCTGGGAGGTTAGAAGCATGCGGTTTGCTGAACTGTACTTAAACATGGCTGTACATTTAAAAAGCAGCTCAGGTTCATCTATGCCAGGGGTCTGCGACCTTCACAGTCCATTCTTGCCCTCAGTCCGGTTAAAACCACTTTAGAGCCACAAATGTTCCTTGCCACTCTGGAAACAGAACATATTTCTGATTATATTTCTGCCTATTTTAAAGAAGCACAAATTTATTTTGAGGTTTTGGAATACAATTTAAGTTGATATATAAGTTGGTATTATTTGTGGTGCAATGGGACATAACAGATAAAAAAATAAAAACAGTTTGGTACCGTTAGTCTTATTCTGTTTTGCCAGTCAGAGCAGTTAGTTTAATATATAGAAATGGAAAGATTGCTAAAACCTGCAGTTTTTGTTATTATTGTTGGCATAATATTCTGTATTTAGAAACATCAGTTGGTTCTTTATGATGTTTAGCCAAGGTTTTTAAGAAGGAAGGTCCAAAGAGCCACCTTTTGCTGACCTCTGATCAATGCTGTACTGATCATCTCTCTGTGGTCTTCATAATGTAAATAAAGCAGCTCTGAGCATGTTGTAGATCTTTGTTAATCAGTTATAGACACGCTGTATTACTGTACTAAGCATCATTAAGCTCCGGCTTACCGTAAAGGCAGCTTTAGTGGCCAAATCAATCGTTTAGCCATTAACTTTCTCCAAATACGGCAGCAGACTAAACTTACATACGATTACAGCATCACTCACTCAGCTTTATACTCTGGGGCTTATTCAATGTAAATACATGTAAGGCTATTCCCGTCCTGCTATTAGTGGTGGTAACATCGTGGCCGTTTGGGAGGATTCTCAGAACGTGTTTCATCGTTGTTTCTTATTAACGCGCCACTTCAAACGCCACAGAAGCCGCACACGTGTGCGTTTGTGTACGTAAGCTACAGGAGGAACATGCTATTTCCGTTGTAAGGCTCGGGGGGGGGATACAGCCAACTGGGGTCAGAAGTCAGAGTTCAGAGATGAAGAGGTCACACAGTTGCACCATCTGGCTAGCAGAACCTCAGAATATCTGGCACCACCTTAGATTTATTTGGGAACAAACGTTGGTCCTTTCGACATTTATCAGCTGCTTTTCTCCGAATGATCAGAATCGGCTCCTAAACACAAATCCTCACATCAGAGTTGGAAATTATTTACATCCCCTGGAGTGTGTAGAGACCCGCTGACATAAAACACATGCTCCGTCTTATCACACGGAAGACCCAGTCAAAGGTTATTTGTAGAGGCTTATGTGGATTCATTACAAGCAAATGAAAACAGCAGCAGACGCATCAGAAGCCAAAGCAACATAAATAGTCGCCCAGGTCTGAGAGGAAAGTGTAAAGTGACAGATTAGATTTCCCGTAGTACCAGAGGTGATCCTGCTCATTAGTCACATCTAGTTTGAGACGGATGACTAAAAGTTTTATTTAATATTAGAGCTGGAATCATCCCAGTCATCTTCATCATCAGCGTAAGAATAGAGAGAGAGGACATGGAGACTAAATTTAACTGTTATAAGGCAGACTTGCTCTAATTGGTATAAAATTAGTTTTGTTCTTAAAAGTAAAGGATATAAAGTGGACAAAGACAAATGCTTCTTCTGAATGATGCACCTTCATCGGGGGGAATAATAAAAGGACTGTCCTGCATGCTAATGTGCACAGATGGATCATAGTGCCCAAACACTTTCAGAAAAACGGTTCCGTCATCAGAAAACATTCTGTTTATACAGACCTGAAAATCCACAGCTAAATATTTCTCATCCTCGGTTCTGTGTACATCAGAACAGCAGCCATTCTTCTGTTTTCTCCATTTGCCTGCAGCAGGGTGGAGTTTTCTGCAGCTTGCTGAAAGCTTGTTAAATCAGTTGTTGGATGAAGCACCTCTTTCCATTATAAGCATGGTATTTTTCTTTTTAACTGCAGCAGGCTAACAGAGGAGCATCCAGTGACGTACAATCGTGAATGTTTGATATAAAGGCCCCTTTTTCCACATTTTCCAGTAGAGTTGGTGTTGTTTAAAGGAAGTAGGTGTGCATAATAGAGTCGGACCCTGATAGGTTGGATGTGGCCCCGTTCAAACCCAGTTCTGTGGAATTTGGTAGCCCCTTAGCCTCCACCTACATGCACCATGACACGAGCTGTTGTGACAGACCTCCCACATGCACATTCAGAACAGGGGCAGCTTTTAGACCAGAGCAGAGGCACTGCAGCCTGCAACATCGACAGCTCTAAGCTGGAGATAAAGTCATTCAGCTGAGTGAGGAGAAGCAGGAACAGAAGCCAACAGAAGGGGTAAATTGGGATTAAACGTTTGCTGCTCATACAGGTAAGAGACCAGCCTCCTGCCGTGCAGAGGTAGAGGGGCTGAGCTGTTTCCAGCAGACCAGGCGGGTGCCCAGCATGTTGAGGCATTGTTGTTGATTGAGTGATGATGTAAAATTATCTGTGCTGTGACAGATCGTCCTGAGTCTGGGAGTCTCATGTGACTACAGGACAGGTGATAAAATATGTGGTGAAATTAGAGAGTGCAAAGGAGTCTCCTTTCACGACTGTCTATGTTTATCTGCATGGCTGCTGCATTAAATGTGTTTGTTGGCTCACATCCGTGGGACTGCGTGAGCAGATTGGTACTCACTGGATATCTGAGTGTTTTTATGAGCTTTATACATATGAAGTGATGACTTGATTTGGAGCCTCCTGTCAGACCAGCTTGGCATTTAGGTGAGCGAGATGGAATGAGCTTAAAACATAAATAAATAATAAATAAAGAAATTGGTCGCATTTTTGGCTGCTTGGTGGAACAGCTGGTAGCCCTGTTGCTTCACAGAACAAAAGTTCATGCAGAAATCTTTCTTCATGAAGTTAGTTTACATTTTCTCCCTGCATTGGCTTTCCATACACGTCCAAAAACATTACGGGGAGTGTTGGCCTAGTGGTGAGAGCAGTGCGCTTGTGCTTTGAGCTTTGGGAAGATTGCAAGTATAGCCTACACTCTGGGTCCCTGAGCAAGACCCTTAACCCCACACTGCTCCCCGGGTGCTGCACAATGGCATCCCACTGCACCCCAAGGGGATGGGTTAAATACAGAAGTGAATTTCCCCAGTGTGAGATAAAGTTCAATTATTTATTTTATTTAAATTGCACTTGGGTGTGATTTTTCTGCTTCTGTTGGTCGTCAAAAATAGGTTGATTGATTACCAGGATGGGGCAGGAGATGGTTTAGTGGATAAGAGCCTAATCTGCGCCTATGTTTGCATCGATCTCTGTCGGTAGAATAAAAAGTGGAAAATAATTTTAGAGACAAAGCTCTCAGTCTAAGAAGTTCAAATATCCATACCCTCACCTATAGTCATACACCACGGTTCATCAGCATGGATGGAAACGATGGGCTTGGTCAGTCTGTCCCTCAGGGATCAGAAGCTGCATCATTTGGAACGCTGTAGATCGTACTTCACCACATTCAGAGCAGTCGGACTTTTTTTTTTGCTTTTCCCTTGGCAGATTTTCCACATATGTCAAACTTGAAAGAAACTCTGTTGGAAACGAAGAAATCACAGAAACTTTTACAATCCGAAGCTGGACAAAAAGGGATGTGCGAATGTGCTTCTTTAGCTTGTAACCATGGCAACCCATTACTCACATGGATCACATGGTTCCCACGCCTTTATTCTCCACTCTCACTAAAAATGTTTTCAAAGTCTGAAACAGACTCAGAATCCATAATAAAAGAATATATGTACAACAAGGAGGTATTTATTGGCATATTTATCAATTAAACTGGAGAACATTTTGCCGTCCATACAATCTGTTAGTAGCTGAATTGTTGTTATTTTTGTTGCATCCAGGCCTTCTATGCAAACCTGGAAACATTTATGTTCCATAACCTTGCAGATTGTGTAATGGTAAATTAGCAGCCTCTCCTTGGCAGCTTGTCTAAGGTCAGCCCAGGAGCGCCGCCATGGCCGGCCAGTGCACGCCCACTGAGCTCCAAGACAAAGGCCTGTTTTCACTAATGCAGAAATGAGAACATCTATAGGTTTTGGACAAAGGCAGCATCTTTACGCAGCTCTTCTCACCGCTGGAAATTGATAAAATGACACATGTCTATTCTTTTTTTTGGGTCATGCTGGTTCTAGGGAACTTTGGTAAAAGATGAAAGAACCATTTGCTCTCCTCTTCAGAAGTGTTGTCCATTTCTAAATTTAAACTAACTCACATTTTTTATTTGTCTGCTCAAATGCATTGCGTGATCGTTCGGCTCTGGTTCCCATTGTTCACTGATGATGGAGGAGAACTGTGCTTTGTTTGGGGTTCCAATCTTAACCTTCTACTTGGCTTTTATATGTTGTATTTGTGAGTTTTTTTTTTAGGCCAGGAGAACCCTTCTGGCCTTTCTTAGTCAGTGAGGGAAAATTTCCCTATGATGACTAAGTCTTTCTGACTGGGTCACCCTATATCTTCCCAAGGCTTCGCTGCAGCTGTACGTGAAAGGTTGAGCCATAAACACAAGAAATATCTTCTGATGAACTGGTGTTAGTCAGATGGTGCATATTTATCTTTAAAAAGCCTAACTGGTGATTTCATCATATTTTCCACAGTGAGCTGCAGTAAATGTTCATTTCCTGAAGCTGGTAGAAAAAGTGGACATTTGCCAGGAACTTCCTTGGCAGGCCCCTGACTATTTTCTGAATGCCCTTTTTTCATAGCTTTACACAGTTTTCTTCTTTATTTATGGATGAATACCTCTATTTTTAGTAGATTGCACAGTTGTACTTCTAGTTCCCTAGCAGCTGTAACTTCAGAAATGTGTGGGCAGCTGAATATAAATGTGAAAAACTGAGACATTGTTGATGACCCTGTTTATCCTGATCGGACTAAATACATGTTGTTCTGCTTGTTTCAGACGTCATCCATACCCAAGGACCTCTGGATGGGAGTCTCTATGCCAAAGTTCGTAAAAAGGAGTCTTCTGAAGGACCAGTTACGTCGAATGGACTTCCAGCCGCTGCTGTTGAACACACTTTACCAGCCGGTGACCAGGCCCTGTCAGTGAGCAGTGATTCAGGAAACTCCACCGCCTCCATCAAAACTGACCGAACTGATGAAGCCACATCAGCCACACAAGCTTCCACTGTGAGCCAGACTCACATTACTGCGGGCGAGGAGTTACCTTCGGTCCATCAACAAGCTCCACCAGTTATACAACCTATAAGTCCCAAGGAGAAGAAGGAGTTAGAGCAACTACTGAGTGGATTGGAGGGGCCCTTGCACAGACAGGCCTATCTTTCCACCCAAACATCTACTGCCAGTGCAGGAATGCTTCACCTGGTGCCCGCCCAGGTCCATGTTAATGGGCACAACGGCATTGACCGAGAAACGGACATCCTAGATGATGAACTGCCCACCAGCCAAGAGGGCAACAGTGTGGACAGTCTGGGGACATTTTCTTCCACAGATGGACGAGCTACACCCGCTGACCTTTACTACCAGTCTGAGGGATTTAGCAACGGCCATGAGCCTGTGCCATATCTGGAGCGCAATGTCCTGCAAAAACCTCTAGAAACCATTCAGTCCTATGTTAGCAGGTCAAATAGACCTGGTGGTCAAATGCAGAGTGACCCGACAGCACCACCGGAAAACTACATGGCTACACAGAATGGCAGCCTGTTCCGCTCTCGTTCCTTTGGTGCCGAGCCCAAGTCCATGCCAGAGGCTCCAGCCCGCACCACCAGCAGCAGAGATGCCGTCCAGCGTGGTCTAAATGTCTGGCAGCGGTTTGGAGTTCCAGAGGAGCCTGTAACTGAAGGCATCACCTTTAGTCCACTTCCATCGATGTCGATGTCCACTCATCATAGCCTGCCACAGTTCCCGCACCGACACAGTGCCTCTCAGGAAGAGATTGAGCAGTCTATTGAAACCCTCAACCTGCTCATGCTGGACCTGCAACCTGGCCATTCAGCTGTGTCAAAATCCCAAAGCACCCCATTGAGGGAAGTCGTAGTTACCACGCAGCCGTCTTTCTCCCAGAGCCAAACCAGACCGTCCCACAAGACTGATGCTGCCCTTCATGTTCCTGCTCCTGTGTCCAGCTTGGCTAGCCATTTGTCAACAGCTCACACGTCATCTGGAAAGCCAGGCTCACCCGAGCCTACACCTTTCAATGTACCTTCAAATTACTCCTCTTCAACCATTGGTTCTTCACAAACCCTGCCCTCTTTAAGCAGCCACCATCAGTTCAAACCGTCAAGCACATTCCCAACAAGTATACAGACCCAATTCTCAGAGGTTCCTCAATCTCAAAGAAGCCCTAGTGCTGCCTCAGTATCATCTCAACCAAGAGACAGTGAACCAGAGGAAGTTTTCAATGTAGAAGGTCTGGTGGCACAGAGAGTGGCTGGTAAGACCTGTTTATTTGTTTATTTTGATTTTTATTTTATTTTATTCACACTTGTAAATTAACAATAAGGACAAACGACAGTGGCAACGTCGGGAGAATGTTTGTCCTGAGGCTTGAGGATCGCCAGTGAACCTCAGCTCCATTCACTTCATTGTGACCTTGGCCATGCCCACATTACCTACTGATGGTCAGAAGGCAGGGTAGTGCTTGTGTATCACAGCCTTGCTACAGCCGCCGCGCCTCAGTGCAGTTGTGGCTACAATGTAACTTGCCACCATCAGTGCCAGAATATGTGTGAATATTTCATTGGCCATTTACAAAACAGCAGATATAGTGGCTTCTAAAGTACATACCCCAGCATCTTCCCAATGAGTTCAAACTGGAGCACATTTTAGTGATAAGAGAGAACAGCTAGGCCTGGTCAAAAATCTTCTAAATCCTTTAGGGAGAATGTTCTGGATGGATGGAAACCAACTGGATTGTTTGGGCCATAAGCCCAATAGTTATGGTCAGCACAAAAAAGTAGGCTGTATCACTAGAACACCACGCCCACTGTAGAACATGGTGAGCTTTTTTCAGCCGGAGCTGAGGTTTTTGGTAAGTTGAATAAAGTTATGAATAGTTGGTCATTTTTCAAGTTTTGAAACAAACTCTGTGGATTTCTGTTAAAAACCAGCAATTTTATTATTCTTATATTTATCTTAAGAATATATTATATATATCTTATATTTTTTAGCCTTGTAGACAGTCTAAGAGCAAATCCAACATAACAAAACTACTGATTTTACTGTTCGCTGGATCAGACCAGCAGTTTGATCCAGAGAACTTGTCCAAGGATTTTGGCCCAAGATTTAAGATACGCCATATGCATTATTTCTCTTTGCAGATAAGTTTCTTTTAGGGTCTTAAAAACATCTTAACCTGATATTTTACATGCGTCATTCTTCAGAAACAGTTTTGATAATCATGTTTTTATTAGAAAATAAATAGAGCTCAGAGACTCCTTGTCATGCCTCCTTTTTTTTCCTCACAAGGGCATGGTCTAGAATCTGACTGGTATGCGCATTTATATCGATGTAACATTAGCCACATTAGGAGATAGCCATGGTCTGTTTACCATTGTTTCCTGGTTGTATCATGGTTGGACTATTTTCCTGGATTGTTAGAAAGCTCCTTTTTGGTGGAATAGAGACAGACATGGTGATAAAAAGAGGCTAATGTTAGCACCTTCAACGAATGATGTAAACAAGGAAGAGGACCCAAATCCTACTCTGTATAGAGTGTGCTCATATGGAATATTCTGGATTAAATAGCAAAGAAAACATGTCCATTTCATAAAGCCTGGATTTTCAAACAGGCTTTAATTCAACTTAGACAACTTTTTTATTGTCATGTTGTATACACAGAGTTTATACAAAATGAAATTTTGTTTTTTGCTGCTTTCATAACATTTCCATTCCTTAAAATGCAGCAGTGATCAAATGTAAACAGTGTGGGGAAAAAAAAACATGGTTCAGTTCAACAATTCAACACTTATGCAGGTTTTTAACATGAAAAAGTAAGATTTCTGGGTGATGACTTCTTTTATGTACAGAACTTAATCAATGTGGAAACATGGCTGAAATTATTTATTGAGTTTTGAGTGATTTATGTCTCAAAAAGCTTGTGTTTTGACACCTGGTTTGTAACCTTTTTTTAAGCCACAGTAATGAGTTGGAATTTTTAACAGTAGCTTGGCCACATTTGGTCTGCTGTAGAAAAACTGTTGAGGAGAAAGATGGCCTATGCCATTAACCATTGCTGAAATATAAACAAATCTCTGTTGAAACACACGCTCTGCCTTTATCTGGTTTCCTGGCAGTCGACATCACTCAGCCTTAAACAGGAAGGGTTTTCTAGTCCAGCAGGTTGACAGTGTCCAGATAAAAGCATGAGACATCCTGCAGATGGTTTAGCAGGACAGAGTCAACATGAAGCAGAGCCACAAGGAGGCATTCTAGAATCCAAGCTATGCTTCAAGTCCTTTAATTGCTGATATAATGTTAGACTGTTGGGTTTTGTTTTAGTTTTGCCGTCATGTGAGCCAACGTTCCATGTGCAGACTGTAAACAGGAGCATAAGATATCTCTTATCTTCTTCCTTTGCTGTTGTTTTCAGATGACCTCATCCTCTCTCTTCTCCTCCTCCTATAAGTTTTATCTTAATCTCCTTTCTTCCATCATTCATGTGTTTGTCCAGAGTACTCGGCTCGAGTCCAAAACATCAACCCCAGCATGACCTCTTCTCAGTCAGAGCACCGCCGCTCTCACTCCCTCTCGGGTTGGTTCTCACATCCGGTCTGAAGGGAAACGTCAGGAAAACGGGAGATGCTTTTCCCGTTTATCTGAGCGTTTCTTCTTTCTGAGTTCGAAATTGTTTCTTCTTTACCTGTTGGGTGTGGTGGGCATTGTTTTGCATTGACTCGTTTCTGTCGTCTTTCCCTGCTTCACTAAAAACTATTTCTGTCATCACCAAATCTCTTCATCATGCATGTTTGTTCTGAGTTGCAGTTTCCTTTCTTAATTTTCAAAAAGGTAAAGGAGGGGTAGAGCATGAAACAAACAAGCCAGAGGGATAATGTTAAATGTTTCAGAGTAACAGGACAGAGGAGGAACAAAGGAGGCTCTGTGTCCTACCAGGAGAGAGTGTGTCACAAGATATGTTTTGCCAAAGATGGGGAACAATACTGAAGCCAGGATACACTGGCCTCTTTCAAAGCCACTTTTATCACTTTTATACCTTTTTCATGGGTTACACAATAGGACAAAATGTTAAATGGAGACCAGAGGAGTCTCCAGACGTCAGTGAAGATGAATATGTCCTCTGAGAACCAGTGACCCGATCCAAATGTTCAGGATTCCTCACCAGAGATGTTCCCAAGAGACTCAACACCCCTAGAGCTTACAGAGGAATTAGGTGTTGATGTATTAACTGTGTGAAGGAGCAGCAGTGAAGTCATTATTGGTTGAGCTCCTTAAATGACCTCTAACAGTGGCAGGTGTGAAGATCTGAAAGAGCCGCCCTGATCACCTGAGCGTCGCGCTGCTTCCGCTGGATGGTCGGACTTTAAATCAAAACGATGTGGAAAATAATCTGGAATCAGCAGCTGTTAACCATTAGCCGTTGCTGTGGTAACAGCGTGCTGCTTCACAGCGCTGTGCCGTAGGGAGGTGTATGTTTTGAACACATGTGGGCCTGGGTTTTCCGGGCTCTGTCTCTGGGTGGGTGTGTTACTCTTTTTTTTTAACCTGGAAAACAAAAAACAAAACAGATTTCTACCAAACAAGGGGTGTTACTGGATACAAAAACTGATCATGTGGGGCTGCAGGACATCTGCTCTGATGTGTCCTCCACCATTTCTAATCAGCCTTTTTTCATCTATGGCTGAAACACTGCAGTACATCCCTGTTTGCATATCTCTCTTTGTTCCCTGGAAACTATATTAACAGGTTAAATCCTGATAGTTACAGAACTAAAATGTTTATTTGCATTTATAATGATTTGCCTTAGCTAAACAAATGATGCATACAGATGGTGCTGTAAAAATGTTCCTTTAGTTTGAGACATGTTACTGCAGGGAGCAGTTGACCAGGAGCCAATCAGCAGACACTATTTTTACACTGCAAACAATTAAATATATGAATGAAAATGTATTTCCTCCTATATGAACAGATAAGTCCATTCGCTAGTGGAATTAGATCATTTATGTTTAAAATAAGAACAAAACGTGCATAATATCTAATGATTAAAAGCCAAAATACTCATTCCTTTGGAAGAACATCATCACTTGCTCATCGTAAGAGCAAAAATACTTAATTTATGAAATTAGTACTTTTTAGAACAGTTTCTTCAGTGTGAAAAGTTGCTTTACTCAGCAACCTTATTACCTTATTTGCCTTATTATGGTATGGTAATATCAGGTCCCAGTTCAGATTTGTAGAGGCAGCAGAACTCATGAATCAATTATGAATACTATTATTGTTTTTTTTTTTGTTTTTTGTTTTTTTGGGTTGTGTTTCATTTAATTTTAATTTAAGGATTTAAGGCTGCCAATATTGCTGAATCTAGCATGTTAAAGGAATAAAGGAGCAGGTTCAATGTAGTTCATCCTTCCTGTTATCAGGTGAAACTCTTGATCTCTCTCAGGTAAAATGACCTGGACATGTCAGAATTAATTTAAAATAATGTTGATTTGTTTTAAATCCTCATATCTCTGTCCTGAGCGAATGAGTGGATTTATAGAACCTCACTGAGACGGTATGCTAACACCTTATATCCAGTGAGAGCTGGTATTTTTAGCCCATCATGGCCGATCATGCTGATGTAGACTTAATTTTATCATAATCTTATTCTCAACATGTCTAGTTTTGCAAGGCTCTATGTGGACTAGAGTAAGTTCTCTTTTAGAATACATTTCAGCTTCTTCATTAAAGGAACAGAAGTAAGAATTGGATTCAACACATTCAACAGAATGAAACTAAAACTATTAAACGTGATGATTTTTGTTTTTTAATTCTACTTTAAATTGAATACGATCAATGAACAGCAGCATTCGTGCTGGGAAACAGTGCGGGTGGATCATTTTGGTTGATTTTGCAGGATACTCAGTTATTAAATCCAAGTTAAAAACATTTATTTTAACTTTGAAACATGCTCACCAGGGTGCAAATCATTCGGTTTCCTCAGTCTCTGTTAAACTTCAGAGTGGGGAGTTTGTTTTGGTTTAATCAGGTTCATTATTTTAAAGCGCCTTTTTTCCCCCAGCAGATTTTAAACATGTCGATTATTTCCATCAGTAATAACAGTTTTGGGTATTTTGAAGAATAAGATCTCTGATTAAAATGTAAAGCAGCCATCAGACTGTGAAACCTTAGAGGGTAAACTGCCTCAGAACAAACACAGGACATGAAAATGTTTCTCTGTACTTAAATTAGTTGAGTTTCTCCAGCTTCAGATCTTAATCCAAAGTGTGAGGCAGCTGCTGACGGGTTAACACACTGACACCATGTTTCTGAATTCAGGCTTTACTTCTCCAACTTTTTACTAGACGGATTGTTGGATATTTGCTTTAAAACTTTAACTGCGCTCTTGTTTCGCTCTAATGCTGTTAAGTTTCTGCCTGGCTCTGAAAGTTTAAGCAGATTAATGAAGATAAGCTTACTCACAGCTTTGAGGAACTGCCAATGTCTGATTTTTATTAAGTGTATTTCTGCCTGTTAATTTTCCTGGTTGGGATTTTAATAACATTGATTTGACCGTTTAGCTGCAGAGTGGGAATATTTTATGATGGTCGAAGGTTTGCTGTGCATTTACTCCTTTTGTAACCTTGCAGAGTGCATGTTGACAATAAAAGTAAGTTTTATTCTGACCAACAGGCTGCTGTACAAATGCAGAGCTTGTGTTTCAATCACCACAACCAGGGATCCCTTGATATATTTGACACTTAACCCTTCTTCATGCGTCACCTCAGGGGTCCAGGCACGTCCAGCCCCTTTGGATGAACCAGCAATCCTTCCCCGACGCCGCGTCACCAGTGAGGGACACTCAGACGACGCTCTGTCCCCAGATGTCCCCGTTCGCTCACCCATCCGCTGCGTTTCTCCAGAGTTTGTCAACGCCATAGCGATGAACCCTGGAGGACGTCCCAAGGAGGTAGAAAACATGCGCCGGGATCAGAGGATTTTCAAAGTGTTTGTGTTCTGACCTGCTTTTTTCCACCTCTGCAGAGAAACATGCACAGCTACCGGGAGGCCTTTGAGGAAATGGAGGGAGGCCCCGTCAGTCCTACAGCCACATTTGGTGGTGAGGCGTTAACCCAAACCCCCGCCTTCCCCGTCTCACCACAAACCCCTTACTTCAACCTGTGTAAGTCCCCCTCCGGCTGACAGATGGCACTGTGGAGCTTAAATATTCAAGTCATTCATAAGCCTAAAAGTAGATTTAAAAAACTAAAACTTGATCTTTAAAATTCAGAAAGTCAGGTTAATTTATAACTTTTTCAGACAAATTTAGTAAAACTTCAAAAATTCAATTATAAGCAACCTTTTTAAATCTTTTAAGAATTTACTGCAATTTTAAACAACTCCAATGGAAATAAAGTTTTGATGGATTTCCAAATCAATTGCTTTTATTTATATAGCATCAATTCACAACAAATGTCATGTCAAGGTATTTTACAGAGACATTTCAACCAGCTCATCCAGTCTGATTGTTTCAAAGTTTTCTATCTAAGCAAAACCAGCTGATTGCATCGACTCATTGACTCGAAAGCAATCTCTCACACTAAGCATGCTTATTGCGACAGTGGAGAGGAAAAACTCTTTTAACAGGAAGAAACCTCCAGCTGAACCAGGTTCAGTGTGAGCGGTCGTCTGCTGAGGCTGACTGGGGTTCAAGGAGACAAGCAGAGATACAGAAAGAAGCAAAGATAGCAAAGGCAACCAGTAACCGGCTGTTACTGCTGTTTGTGGATAAACTGGCATGAAATTCCTGAAAATTCACCCTGGATATTTAACTTCACTTCTAAATTAATTAATAATTATTATAAAAAACAGAATTGCAATATTTGCAAATGACCTGGATAAAAATTTTGCATTTAAAGTAGAAAAAACAACAACTTTCCAACTTACTTAAATATAATAATCTTACTTAAGGGGTGATAATTTTCATTCTAGTAGCAAATTATTGTTATTTCTGCTGAAAGGAAGGGAAAATAGACTTGGTTTGAGATGGTTTTCACTGATCTTTAGATTATGTTTTGAAGTCTTATAGATAATGATCCTTACTAAGGTCTTTCATATGTTCCAGTAAACCTTTAGCCAAAGAGTAATGTTAAAAGAGATTTTCCTTTGTATTTCAGCTTTGCTGTATATATCAAAATTACTGTCAGCGTTCCTAGTTTTTATAAAAAATATTTCAGTTCCTCTGCTGCAGTTTTATGTCCTTCTGCGCCCTCCAATAATTTAAGAAAAAAGTTTTCTCTCCTGGATAAACAACAAAAAAAAAACTACAAGTTATTAAGAAAAGTTTTTTTATTCTCCTGCCAAACGTCTTTAAAGTGCATGTTTGAGGATCGGTTACGGTCTTCACATCTCTGCACACTCGCACCATCTGTGATCAGAGGTGCAGTTTCAAAGAATTGATTGGGATTCTTTGGTAAGTGAAGGATGCACGACCCTGGAGGGGAGATCCACTGTCCCAAGCCGTCAGCCATATTGCCCCCCCCCACCCTCACCGACCTCTGTCTATGTGCCTGAGTGTTATTTGGCCATCGCTTATCACAACCCTGCACTGCTTTGGCGTGAGACAAACTGAAATGAGATCTGTTCATGAGCAGCATTTTTATAAACCACCCCGACCCTCAGTGGCTGCTGCTCTCCGTGTTCCTGTGACTGAGTTCCCATTGCCACCTTGTTTCCCTGCAACAGCACCCTGCTTGTTCATTCATTGTTACCCTTTATTTTTGTGTTGCTGTTTAGTTATAGTTCCGCATGAAAGGAAAAACAAAGCTGTATTATTGTGGTCTAGGGCTTTCTTTACCTCTGGGATGCATGGACGATAAAACCATATCCCAATTTAGGATTCCTTAGAGCAGGAAACATGGTTTCCCCACTAAGTTTAGTCGCAGTATCGACTTAATCAATTCAGTTGTTTGGTCAGATGATTTTTAGTTGAAAGACCACAAAGCTACAATTTGGAGAGCATTTAATCAAAAGAGAAATTATCTTCTAAATTTTATTTTTAATGAATTGAAAATAAAGGTTTCCAGATGAAGATAATTGACTGCCTCATTAAAAAAACAATAGATTAAAGCTAGTAATCAAATATACAGTAACCATGAGTAAAACAAAGATCTGCTGTTTCAGTACTGTAGGATCAGAAGTTTTTAAGCCTAAAGAATCCATTCACTTTATTTCTTTTTTCTTTGGCATAAATGTTGATTTATTGCATGGGTTTTCTGTGCTTCAAAAGTAAAATACAAAAAGACTAAATTTGCAAATTAAAAAGTCCCTCAAAATTTAGTTTAAAGTCCCAAAAAGCCACCTTCTTTCTGCGTGCTTTCTAAGTTTATTGGTTTGACTTGGTTCAGCTTTATTATCATTTCATTTTTTGGCACCTACTGGTAGATCGGGTCAGAGTCTGATTGAAAGTGCTCACCTGCATGTTTTGATCCTTCATCAGAGCATGAAGCATGGGAACACCCACCTTTTGCTCTTTGTGTGTAAACCAACCCGAACATGTTGACAGCTCCTTACCTGGTTGTCTTTGAGGAAAAATAAAAACTGCCGTCTGGAATGACACCAGAGTTTATATGAAAAATGAATGTTTTTCAGTCAGACTGTATCAACAGGTACCAGCTGTCATCATGGCGGTAGGTCTGCTGTCGTTGTGTGACGCTGTCTAATTTCTTTCCTTCAGGCCGCTCCCCTCCTGGTCTCGCCAAGACTCCCCTGTCCGCCCTGGGGTTGAAGCCCCACAACCCGGCAGAGATCCTCCTCAACCAAACAGGCTCAGGTTGGTTCTGAAACCATCAAGATGTCTATGAGCTCATACAGTAGTATCCATTCAAAATTTCCCCACTTTCCTTCATGGCCCTTGGCTGGTCCTTGGCTGGCAGTTGGAGGCGATTTTGCTGGGAGTTGCAGGGAAGTGGGCTGTTATTTGGCTGGCATTTTACTGGGAAGGGCCATTTTGAATGGCTGCTACTGTATACCAGGAAATACCAAACTTTGGACTCATAATTAACTTTAATAATTACTCAAAGTTTAAAACATATGATCATAAACTCAATGTTTATTTGACACTACAGCCGTAAGCTCCAAGAACAATTAAAATGCCAATTCTAGGACTCTTCAATTCTGAACTGTATTGTTCTTTACAATATTTTGCTTCTGGGTTCATCTCTAATTATGCAACAGATGAAGAGAGCAGTCAAAGTGAGGGAGGTAAGTTTAGAGATCATTGCTGGAACTCGAGCGTATCATCCGCAGTCATGTCATTTATCTTAAAGGGCATTTTTTATCATATTCGTCTTGTCAAGCTGTGCTCAGGTGTTATAGCTTCACTTTTATATCAAACGTAAGAAAACATTCAGTATGGACTAAAGTGGTCATAGCAAAGCTTGCTTAAGAAGAAGATATAAAACAGTCAACAACCTTGTCAGAGATTAAAAGCTCTCTGTGATAAGCGCAGTCTGCCTGGACTTCACCACCATGGAGCTGTAAATTTTGCTCCACTTCTTACCAGCATTCTTACCATAATTCAACCTAATGATCAGAACTGGTCATCATCCATATATGGTAGTGCCTTGCTGTTTTATTGGGAATCAGTCAAAAGATTTTAGTTTTAAAAATTTGAATCAGAAAAAAAAGAATTTTAATTTTTTAATGTTTGTGTCATAGAGATGATGATGATATGCCCTTTAAGATCTTCCTTGGCAGCGCTATTTTTTACTCACTCATCTTTTCTCAACGGTGCCTTCACTGTAGCTAAATGAACTTCCTCTCTTTTTATTTGACCCTTTCATTGCACTAGTCATTCACTAAAATGACAAATTGTCAAAGATCAATGTAGAGATCAATTATTTACAGGTTGAGGATGTTATAAAATGAAGTATTGGGTTTTCATTTTTTCCTGTTAAGGCCCAAGAAGCTATGTGGAGTCTGTGGCGAGGTCTGCTGTGGTGGCTGGGGAGCCGCCATCATCACCTCAGAGCCTCAGTCCCCCTGGTGACCCCAAGAGTCTGAGCCCGGCCAGCCATACACTGAACCCACCTTTATCAAGCAGCAGTCCCATCCAGATCTCACAGGGGTGAGTCAGTTATGCTACCAAGCACTGTGGGTATCTTTAAAGTAACTGCTGACAGCTTTATAAACCTTTAAACGTTAAATAACTTTAATCTCTGTCAAACTCGCTAAAAGAAATTGACTGACAGACCTTCCCCCTCGATTTCAGAGACCGTCTCCAAGCAGAGAGCATCATTAACATCCCTTCCCAACCAACTGTTGATTCTGGGTTCCACTCCCATCCTACAGAAAGTTCTTACACGACTCGTTCTCCATCCAATCAAGACCTAAATCCATCCAGTTCTCCCTACCTGGACTCCAGCTCCCCAACCTCCTCCTATCTCGGATCCACAACCCCAACACTGTCCTATCTTGGCCCTAGCAGCCTATTGGGTAGCTATCCAAACTCCAATTCCAGCCCAGCTATCTCAGAACCCTCCAAGACCACATTTAACCATGAAGGTCTCCAGCAACAGCCCAACTTCCACAGCTCCAACTACAACCCAGTCCTTCAGCAGCACTTCAGCGTTAAACAAGATGCACCCATCCAGCCGCGTCAGAAGTCCCCGTCTAACGGCTTTGAAGTAGTGATGGCAGGGCTGGGTGGCAGCCCAGTCCTTGGTCGTCATCGGTCACAGGGGGCGCCGGGCAGTCCCGTTCTCAACAGACAGGCCTCTTTAGGACAGGGATCACAGCACAGCCCCGTCCTCAGCAGGCAGCCATCTTTGGGTCAGCCCATTCAGAGCAGCCCTGTTCTTAGCAGACAGCCATCTATCACACACCAACAGGGAAGCCCAGTGCTGGGCCGTCACCCATCTGTTCCACAGATGTCGCAGAGAAGCCCCAGTTTAGATCGCCACCCCATGCACAGCGGCTACACTACACCAGATGAAAGACATGGAAACCTGTCGAGACAGAGTAGCTCTTCGGGCTACCAGGGACCCCCCACTCCCTCCTTCCCCATTTCCCCCGCTGGCTACCCAGATGGTGGGATGGGCATAGGTTTCAGGCAGGGTAGCCCGGCCCCAGGTTTCCAGCCTCAACTCCCAGAGAAAAGACGCATGTCGAGCGGAGATAGACCAAACGGAGCGCTGTCCTACGGGACCCTAAATGGGAAGATAATGTCCCCAATGAGTGGGGGGAGTACTGCTGGATACTTCAACACCCTCCCAGACTTATCGGGGTTCAGACGGCATGGTGAGAACTTCTATCATCATCACCTATTCACTAAGATGAAGAAATAATCTGATTAAAGATTTTAACCTGTACTGTGACTTTACATCATTTCATTATCAGAGGTCTTCCAGGAACCAAAGGATCCTCATGGTCGTATTATTTTCTCTGCAGATGGAAGCCCAGAGAGCAAGCTGAATGTTAAATTTGTTCAGGACACTACCAAGTTCTGGTACAAGCCTGACATCTCCAGGGAGCAAGGTAAGCTTAAACCCTGGTTACTTATCAGAGGTTGGTTTTCCTGTCAATGTGTGCTTTATTGATCTAAAGATCAATTTTATTTCTGGGCCACATCTCATGGTGTATTGTGGACAGAAGGAACGTCTGGCAAATGGTGTGATTGTGTTGTCGTGCTTAAGCTATGACCTTCAGTTTGCACATGAGCATCTGAAGCAGCAAGGATAAGTCGGTGGCTCTGGGTCTGAGGTGGTTCTTGGTTGCGTTCCCCATGTTGGGGCTGTCTAAACAATGGGCAACCTTCATTCTCCAAGCCGTTAAAGTCCATCTTTTTGTGGTCTACCTTTATCGCTGAGTTTAATAAGTTATTGAATGTGGCAGTGCTTGTGTTGCATCCTGTCTGATAAAGTAGGAGCAAAGCTGCAGGAAAAGAGTAGGGCGCTCCCTTCCTTCAGCCATCATTCAACCTGTTGATCTAGCGGCTAAACAGGGAAGGAGTGGGGCCTATGATGCTGCAGCTGCACACAACCTGACCAACATGCAACATGCAGCAACATGAGGAAAAGATTAAGAAGTTTCGAGACGTTATTTTTCTGAACTTTGACGGATCACTAAAAAATGTTACTTAACTGACAATAAAAACCTGCCAGGTCAGCATAAGCTAAAGCCGATCCCACAGCTTTATGCACTTTTATTTCATGCTTATATATGTGAATGTTCTGCTCCTAAAACTGCTGCTACACTGGAAGAAAAATCGAAATCTGGATAAGTCCTTTTTTCTTAAATAAAGTGCATTTGTTCTTTGATTAAGGAGGTAAAAGAGACATTTTGCCAATGGAACAGGACAATTTACACTTAAAATAAGAAAACACAATTGCAGTGTCTTATTTCAAGTGCATATTATCAAATTTCTTACTTTAAGAGTAAAAATGTTCATTCCATTGGCAAACCACCTCATTTACCTACTCAAACTACGGGTAAATACGGGCTCCAAATGCAGATGGTTTTAGTTTTTTTTTTCCCACGTTAGAACTTTTTTTGGTCCTATCAAGGTCTGTTTGTTGGGCTACTATTAAGAGCCTCCAACTCTACACAATGTCTGACATTTGAATTGAAAATACTTTCTGGATGGGAAGTGAAACGTCTTCATACTTGGAAACAAAGTCCAGTGGATTGCTTTTTTTTTAAACTTTTTTTGGGAATGGCTATGACCTGGATGACTGAGAATCTGAACCAGCATATCTGTGCACCTTTTGACCCACATATTAACTTAATTTGATATATAATAAATTATTTTAAAGGTAAATATGCAGAGATAATTTCTTTTGTAAAAAAGACATTTAAATAAATTCTGTATGTTTACAGCCATCAACCTGCTGAAAGACAGAGAGCCAGGAGCCTTTGTGATCAGAGACAGTCACTCATTCAGGGGGGCGTACGGCTTGGCGATGAAGGTGGCCTCCCCCCCTCCATCTGTGCATCAGAGCAAGAAAGGTAGGAGGTATCTAGGGATGGTTTTCTGTGGAGTTTGATATCCTGATTCCAGCAAAGAACTGAAGGAGTTTCTAACCGTAACCGATTCTTCCTCTTGCGTCTTGCAGGTGACATCACCAACGAGCTGGTGAGGCACTTCCTGATTGAAAGCAGTCCAAAAGGAGTGAAGCTGAAAGGTTGCCCCAACGAGCCTTATTTTGGTAGGAAGACCATCTGCAAACATCTCTGATGAGTTAGAAAGTAAAATTAAGAACTGGTTTCTATTCTTTCTAAATTTGAGTATTTATAGTCACTAGTTATTGGACCTTAAAAGTTTATCTATATTATAGATAAACTTTTAAGGTCCAATATATTATATTATGTAGTGTTTACAACCAGAAATCTGTTTGAGTTTTTGTGACTGTTAATGTAGTTTTCAGGTTTCTTTAATAAACTTTTAGCACAGAAACAGAGTAAATATAGGTCAAAGATTTCTGACCCAGGTCTGTTTGATGTACTCACATTTTAAATACAACAGTTTAACTTCTTTTTAATATTAAAGGGGCATAGTCAATTTATATGCTTATAAAAAAAGATTAAAAACCATTTGAGCACAATAAAAAATAAGCTTATATACACGACATATCTGTTTAGATGGACCTTTAAGCCTAAATAGAATTCCTGCACCAGGTGTGATGCGCTCACATAAACAGGTGTGGCGCCATCTGCTGGCAGTACCACAGACCCGTCAGAAAGCCAGAAAGTGAAAATTGATGCACCAACTAAATCGAGCCCAACAGTCTCACAGTGCCTGACATTAAAGCATTTAGAACTTTAAGGAAAAATAAAATTCCTAAAGGTAAATAAGATAAGGAATATTTAAATGAAATAAATAAAAAAACATCAGGCTAAAACCTTCATTGGAATGAGCACAGATAAAAAGACATATGTTCATTTCTCCTAAGTGTAAAATGTTGTTTTTTCTTAGACTGTAGTGACTAAGAATAGCTTTTCTATCAGTAATAATGAGAAAGATTAGTGACTTATGCCTCCGGTACACCGTAGCTTCAGTGAACCAAAGTTTATCCTGTACCCCAATCTCTTTTCCAGTCTTATCTCTCTTGAAATACAATATTTATTTTTTTCCATGGTTTTACTTTTCTTCAGTATTTTCACTCCATTTGAGGCGCTAACAGCCTTAGCCACATTGCTTCCTTGTTTTTCCCCCTGCATATATGTGCATTACCGTACAGTACCTCCAGACACTCAATGGTTTATTGTAAATATAAAAAAAGAGATTTATTTACTAAACTAATCACTAACAGAAACTAACAAACATGTCATCACGATGTAGTACTTTTTTAATGTCATGTAACGTGATTTTATCCCTTTAAAGGTCATTACTGATGTATTGAAATGTAGGACAGAGCATTAGGGCCATTCTAAGAGATTTTTTTTTTTTAATGCCCAAATAACAATGAGAGTAAAGTTCTAATAGTACAAAAAATAAAAAGTTGTTTGAATAAGAAAAAAAACTTCAAAAGAGCTAAAATCAATACATGCAGCCACAGATTTCTTATGTTTATTTCTGCATATTGCTATTAGAACCACATATTTCTCTTTTTGACTTTGAATCCACGTTTCCCAACTTAAAAAGATGAGTGTGGTTCTGTCCTGCCGATAGACATGTTTTCTTTCATTTTTTCCAACTTACAGCATAAAGCGTTCACCGGGTTTAATATGAAAACATTGAACTATACTTTTCTACTGGAAAATTATAGAAATAATTACATTAAACTATTTTCTGCAAAAAAGCAATATGCAAACTGAAAAATACTTGTAACCAAAACATATCACTGCAGAAATAGTTTATTCAATCTGCAGAGATACAAATAAAAAGTGTTATTACTTTAAAAGAGGCCAAGAATAAGTTCAAAGAATTGTCATAAATATAATTTTTTTCAGTTCCTATAAAAGTTTGTTGTGTTTGGCAGGTTGCCTCTCTGCCTTGGTCTACCAACATGCCATCACTCCTCTGGCGCTCCCCTGCAAGCTCCTCATCCCTGCCACAGGTATAAACCATCAGCAGTGGGTTTTTAGAGGCGTTTCTATGTTGTTGTTTTTTTCCACAGATTAAATTTTTAAATGTTCTTTCTGTAGATCTCATGGAAGAAACTCCGGAGGTCGCAGCGACGAACCCGCTGGCTGAAAGGCTGAAACAAGGAGCAGGTAAAACATTTAACTCTTCTGTTTGAAGCGCAGCCTGTGAAGTGATGGCAGTGTTTAGATCAGGAGTCCTCATTCTGACAACCTGACTTCCTTGTTATCTCAGTGCAGAGTGCCCCCGCTGATTCCCATGGTAAAGCCATTTTCACATCTGGAATGTGCATCTTATATGTCGCTCTATGTTCTTAACAGCAGCGTCTAGCATCTCCGTCACCTTTTCTGTGGAATGATTTCCCTCTTTAACCCCCAGATTTGTTCCTTGAAGCATGAAAGATGTCGAAGCACTTTTTGCATGAACAGAATCGATCCTGCTCAACAATTCTTACACATCTGAGGTGTTTTCTTTCTCCTTCCAGCTTGCAACGTTCTCTACATAAACTCTGTGGAGATGGAGTCCCTGACGGGTCCTCAGGCTGTTGCCAAGGCCATTTCTGAGACACTGGCTGCTGCTTCCCCCCCCACCGCCACCGTTGTGCACTTCAAGGTGTCCTCCCAGGGCATCACGCTCACAGACAACCAGAGGAAGTAAGTCTCGTCAAGCTTCTTCTGACAGAGTAATGCCATTTTCCAAACCCTACACCGTCAAACTATTTTGCAGTCAGCTGACTCTTTTCGAATGTATTGCTACACACTGATTAAAAAACAGTGGAACCCATCATGGACCCCCCATTCCTGGCTCTTCATCGCCTCATTTCCCAGAACAACCCCTGCTCTCTGCTTTCAAAGTAGTTCAGTGATGAAACAAAATGCTTTCTCTTCTTTTACAGGCTGTTCTTCAGACGTCACTACCCCGCTAACACTGTCACCTTCTGCAACACAGACCCTCAGGACAGGAAGTGAGTCAGCAGAGATTAAAACAGTTCAACCAGCTCATCCAGAGGTTTCTTCTTGTTACATGAGAACATGAAGCCATAAAGCAGTTATACCCCAGTCTTTCTCTTTAAGGTCATAGGGAAGTCATATTTACATGTTAAATCATTCTTGCTTAAACATGAATATAAATGTATTCTTTATCAGACGATATTGCACCAAAAGTTAGAAAATTTCTATTTAAAAAAAAATCCTGTCTTAAAATGTTTCTTTTTTTTTCCGTTATCTTTCGTTATCAAATTTTTAAAGGTGAAAGCTCCAAGTTTAACTCCTCCCATCCTATAAGTTGCTGTGTCGCACTCGCCCAATCTCCTATAATAATCTGTTGATGTCAGCAGAGAATTACAACTGACTATTACCGCAGAATTCTTTTTGTGTCAAAGTTGGCGTTAAAGTCCTGATATAAAGTCGTGACATCGTAACCAGGAGTAAATATTTGTTTATTTTGGACCTATCTAAGTTTATAGGACAGTTATTTGAATTCACATTTTCATTTTTTTTTTTTATTATAAAATGACAGCAACTATGTCTAAGCACACCATTCATCACTCCATCAATCATGTATAGCGGTAATGGTAGCTGCCATGTCTCAAAAAGCCTCCACAACTCAGATGTAACCATGTCTTTCAAACGGAAGTGATGTTTCTAAAATCTGGGATTTACTGACAAAAAGCCAGCATTTTCCTCAGCTTTAAAAACCACTAAACCCACGTAAACTTACAACATGATCCGTATATGTTTGCGGGATCTACTGTTATGCTCTCTTTGGTAATGAGCAGGACTGTCTAATTGAACCGAATTCAGAAACAGTTAGCTTTGCACTAATTAAAGCTGTACACTTTAATTACATGTCAGGGGAAAATGCTAACTTCAGTGTCGCCTTTAAAATCTTTCTCTTTCATAAACTCCTTCTACCTGGAGAAGGCTTCCTTGATATTCATCCTATTTTCTAGTTTCGTTTTTCTTAAAAGTTCTCTTTTTCCCTTTCCTTGGGGATGATGAAATCGTTCCTTGCTGCTGCTGCTGCATATCGATGGTCCTGCATTGTGCTGTGAACTTTCAGTTTTTGGATCAGTCTCTCCAAATAATCCTCACCTCCACCTCTCAATCACACTGAACTGCCATCAAGGGGAAATGGGTCGTTATTCCACGCGTTTGTACTATTTTATCCCTCACTGACATCTGTACTTTCAAGATGGCAGACTGTCATAGTGCTTTTCAAAAAGATGCACAGCTTTATGTATGAATGAATATAAAATGATTCAACAATGAAGATGTATTTGATTATTAGTGAAGGCAATTATACACCTATAATAACAAATATCTAAATGCAGTCATTGATTTCAGGCAGTAAAGAAGAGAAATATTTACATAATATACGTTTTATACTCTTGTGCTGCACCTGCCTAGATGTGGATGTTATTTTTGAAAAATGTATCATATTATTCTGACCTTTAAAGATAGTCCAAGTCCATCCAAGTCTTCAAATATGAGTTATATGCCGGTTGATGAGTGTGAGGGGAACCTGACTGAAAGACAAACACATACCCTTTGTTTCTTCAGTTCAGGATTTTTTTATTTAATTTGAGACAAATGAAATTATCTTTCAGGTTAATATACATTCCTTAAATTGTTGTTCTCTGTGGGTTTCTACCCTCAAAGACCGCCTATGAGTCAAGTGAGGATTTCAATTAAGAGTTGATGGTACATCGTCTTTATAAGTGACTCCTTGACTTCTCAGTCTGCTGGTCTAAAGTGCTCCGCTGTCAGATTCTAAAACAGAGAGGAAGATGTTTTGATTTTGCAACAGTGCAGTGTTCCTTCTAAACCTGGAAGTTACAGCTCTAGTGCCCCTAGTGGCCAAAAGTTACATAGATTTGCTTTCTTTTCCACAATAAAAGAAAATTTAAAATGTGCTTTAGGCTTCTGAAAAAAAGTGGCAGCTTTGAATAAGACAGAAAATGTAATTTAATATTTTCTGGAGATGCTGCTGAACAAGTATGAAGTATCAGTATTATTTTTAAAATTTTGATCTAGTTCTGTTAAAGAAATATGAACTTATAGAATGTTTATTAGGAGTCCTTATATTTGATCTTTTTTTCCAGATGGAGCAAACCTGAGGGAGGCCCAGCAAAGTAAGCGAGCGCTCCGTCACCTGTCTGCGTGTTTCCTGGTCAATTCGGTCGTAAAGATTCTCACCTGTTTCTTTCAGGCTCTTTGGATTTGTGGCACGGAAGCAGGGAAGCACAACAGACAACGTCAGCCACATCTTTGCTGAGATGGACCCTGACCAGCCCGCCAGCGCCATCGTCAACTTCGTGTCAAAGATAATCGCCTCGCAGGCCCGATGAGGAGCGGGGCTAACCCTCCCCCCCACCCCGGTTCTTTTTTCTTTAAAATCCTTTGGTTGAATTTTCTTTCCTGTCTGGCCTCTATTTTTCACGCTGTCACCCTTTTTTCCTGCTCTGTCACCTTTCAGATGCGTGGCTCTTCTCGGATGGGTTTCAGAACAGAGCGGAGGAAGTGTCGGATGGGGGGGTGGGTGTGTAGGACGGTGGGACGGAGGCGTAAATTAAATTAAACCTCCGGGGATGGGTAAACCGAGAAAAGAAAGAGGGAATGATTGTGTATAAATAGTAACGTTTGAACAGTTTTTTTAAACTTTTTTTTTAAGAGAAAGTTAAGTTGTGTGAAGGTAGACTGTTTCTTTCAGGCTTCTCAACCAAAGATTTGAACCAGGGAGTCAGGGCGCGAACGGTGCACCGCTCTGAGGGTCACGAGTTTTGTAAACAAATATGGCGGCTTAATCCAAAAAAAAAAAAAAAAAAAAAGTTTCTTTCTGTATGTAATGATACTGTAGGTCAACTCTGCACCATTGCTGTCTTAGAAAAAAACAAAAAAAACACTGTTGGACATTTTGCAGCTGGTGGGGTCTGTAAATATTCTGAATGGCTTTCTTTTTTGAGTGGGACTGTATTAGACAACATCCGGTGCCTGACTTTGTTTTCCAAACGAAGAGCTTTGAGAAAATCTCCACGGCGACCTAAATATGCAAACAGCCAAACATGGAAATAAGCTTGGTGCAGAGCTGAAGCTGATGCAGGTAGCTTCGACTATCACTGTAAGCTCAGAAGAATCCAGCTGATCCTCTGCATCCACCATCACTGCATGGCTGCATGTAGGCAGTTTAACTCACCCTTGACTGAAAGGCCCCGAGTTGTTCTGAGTTCATCTTTCTTTACGGCTCTCGGTTTTTGTCTGTGGAAACAAGCAGAGTCAGAACGCTAACACTCACCCTACCCAAAAGTAAGCTATACCTATAAATATATATGAGTTCTATATATAAACTTCCGGTGATTTAAGATATTTATTTTTTTTTGGCTTTGTTGCTTCGTTTTAACTTGTATACCTGTATTATAAAGTATACATCCAGATTACTAAAAGGCTTTTATTTTTGCCTGAAGTGTATTGGCAGAAAAGTTGTAAAGCGTATGCATTTAAAAGTGCATCACTGATGTTATGAATGTTGCATTTTTCACAGCTTATTTTTTTAACACTTTTGTTTTTGTTTTTTTTGTAGGAGGGGAAATATTTTGTATCAAAGATTATTATTACCTAAGTCCAAATTGGAGTTGATCTAAAGTGAAGCCATAGATAAAATGATTTTTAACTAGAACCTGCCCAGAACATGCATTGTCTACAGTTAGCACTTAAAAGTTTTAACACAATTTGATGGAAATTTGGATGAAACAACCTGAGGATTAATGTAGACGTCCGATCAAATAGTTTTTTTTATTCTGAGATAACCTCTGAGTCAGTTTAATCTGCTACTAAAGTAGCAGCCATATTCTTCAACATTTAGGAAAAGAAGCATTAAAGGTATAATGGAAGATCTTAGCTAATTTTTGAAAAGACCCGCCCACTCCACTTTAAAAAAAAATGCACATGTACATCCCTGTACCCGCTCCCAATGAGGGAATGCTTATTAAACTCGTGCAAGAGTGTGCACAAGCCCATTTCTCCTCGTGCACACTCTGTTTGAAAGTTCCTGTGTGCATCACTCATACAAGCTCACTTTCCAAAAGAAGATTTGCAATTTTTCCACCATGTCAGCTTCACCACCGCTAAGTGAAATTGGGGGCGAGCACGTTGGACGGCCTTACGTAAACATATCACCAGAATGATTGACAATTAGGAGGACTTCCTAATAGTAGAGAACATCCTGCACTATACCTTTAATTTGAATTGAAATTAGCTGCTTTTTAAACTAAATGGCTGTAAAGTCCTGCTTGGGTTTCATATAATCAGATAAGCATCCATTAGGGCAGTGTTTTTCAACCCTGGGCCTCAAGGCACACTGCCCTGCATGTTTTAGATGTTTCCCAGCTTCCACACACCTGTTATCAATTGATAGAAGATTATCAGGTTTTGCTGAACTGCAATCATCTGAATCAGGTTTGTTGAACCTCAGAAACATCCAAAACATGCAGAGCAGGGTGCTTTGAGGACCAGGGTTAAAAAACACTGCATTAGGGGATGACTGATCTGGATCTAATGTGGTTATACATGGCATAGATGTGCAGCAATATGTTAAAATCTCCTTTTCTTGGGAGAATGATCCTGAACTGGTTCATCCTCCAGCAGACTCACAAAGTTTGACTAATCTACCGACAACATCAACATCTTGACCTCTAACTAGCCGTAATCAGGACCCTTCCAGGGTTATTGTAACTGACCAAAGGAGTTCATGTGGCCAGTTGGTCATGTGGTACAGATGTTATAATGGCCATATGTTCCAAAAGACCAATCCAAAACTAACTACACCAAAGGAAGATGATAACCTGATAAATGTGCTAAATATGAACCCAATTCAGTTTGTTTATTTCCTTCCAAATAACAGAGGAAAGATCTTAGGAAGAAGAACTATTCAACCGGACTCTATGTTTGCAGCTGTGACATTAAAATCCCAAATCTTCAGTGTATGGTTAAACGAGATGCTAGCGCCCTCATGTGGCGCAGAACAATACCTACAAAACCACTCGCAGTTCTAATACAGTGTTTTAACTGTGTTAGATGCTTGAACAAATTAAGTAAAAATAAAAAGATCCACTCATTAAGAGTAAAAAACCTATCCTAATGTATTTTGTAGACAAAAGTATAATTTGTTTGTTAAGCCATTACATTTTATTTCTTGAGGACAGGTTGCCAGCATGATGGATGGTCTAAAGTATTTGGGGCCTTACATAAACTTTAAAAAGAAAATGCAGCACTTACAGGATTTTTATATCTTCCTAGAATGTATTTATTAGCGGGGGCTTGCACGCTCATCCAACTGTAACCTTAATGCTGCTGACTAATCTGTGCACAGCATCGAGTTTTACCCAAACCAGGCCCATAGGTAGATTTTAAATGCTTTTGACTCGGCTTACGTAACAAAATATAAAAAAAAATTTTCTTCTAAAACATCAGTTTTTGCACATCAGTGCATCAGTTTTTGCTAAGCAGTTAGTGAAGTAAACAGACTTTGAGCTGAAACTCCAGAGCGTCTGCTGACTTTAACGGATCCCTCTGGACTGTAGAATGTGTATGAATGAGCTATGACTCCTGTAAAGAGCTTTTTCTGTTTTTGGTTTGCTACATTGTATGTATTTTACCATTTCCAATGGATAAAAATATTAAAAAGCAGTACAAATCAAATGTTTGTGTCTTTTGTTATACTTGCCTGAACTTTAATTCAGGATTATTTTGACATATTTCTTTCCATAGTATCAGTTTGCTGGGGGTTTTTTGGTGCAGAAAATACTTTTTTTCATCATTAGATTCTTTTAGTTATGGTCAAAGGAAAGCTCTGTGTTTACACCTTGAAGGTTTCTCTCTCCGGTTCATTTTGCTGAAAAGACTTCACTCAGGACAAACGGTTTAAATAACACTTCATAACGTTTATGTATTAAATAACCATGACACATGACAACAGATTTTGATAGAAATTTTAATCTTCTTACTCAGATCAAAGAAGTTGCTTTGAGTTACAGAAGGCAGCTGCCTACCAACTGGGCTCACTTCTCCGGAAGACGCACAGGTAGAGGAGCATTTTATACATCAGTATGCCACATTATTACATCATTACATCATACATGTTTGCAGATGAGGAGACATCTACACTGCAAAAAATTGAAGTCATTTTCCCTTAAAATAAGTGCATTTTTTCTTGAATTTAGGTGGTAAGTGAAGCACTTTGCCAATGGAACAAGACAATTTACATTTAAAATAAGAAAAAACAATTATATTGTCTTATTTCAAGTGCATGTTATCCAATTATCTTATTTTAGGAGCAAAACTACTCATTCTATTGGCAAATCATCTTATTTACCGGCTCAAATTAATGGGAAATACACTTAATTTAAGAAATGTTTACTTATTTCTAGATTGTTTTTGCAGTGTATTCTTAGCACTGTTCTTTTTTCATTCCCAAATCTTTGCCACATACAGAATGAAGATTATAACTGTATGTAGCCAGACTGAGGAACTGCCCTAATTAGATAAACTCATCTAGATCTTGATATACTGTATATATAGTGTTTATTCTTAATGCATCTTTTCCTCCTTGTTTGCACCTTCTTTAATTATTATGCCAATATGTGACCAGTGAATTTCTCCGCTGTGAGATCAATAAAGCTCATCTAATCTAACTATTTGGGAAAACATCAGTTCTGACATGCAACAGCTAATATTAAGGTGTAATAAACTCACAAATCATTAATGATAAAATTTTCCTAACATTACAATCTAGAAAACATGTTTTGCTTCATGCAGAGCTGTTTCTGGAAATAAGTAGTACAAGCTTGAAAATGGATGAAGCGTATTAAAATGTTTGAAGATGTATTTGACTGAAATTCTTAATATTGGATCTATAAAACTCCAGTAGGTATTGGATAATTAGACACAGTTTTAAGGTTTCTCTTAAACCATTTGTTATTGTTAATAATATGTGAAATAGTTCACTTTATTCTTGAAAAATGTAAAACTAAAATATGTTTCTGTATTAAACAATCCTAATTATGTTTATTTTTTTTTCATTTTTATTGATCTCGCAATGGAGAAATTCAATCTTTAAGAAAATATGTGGTTAAATGATCAAAAGTTTATTTATAAAGCACTTTTCAGCAATACAATTCAAAGGACTGTATATCACAAGAAAAAAAAGGACTGAAGGCATCAGAATAATGATACTGAAAATTTTCTATTAAAAGATGAAATTATTAATAAGAAATTAAATGAAAAAAGTGATTATCATTTTAAATACTAAAACTATTTGGAGTCCTATCAGGACAGGAGTACTTTTTTCAATTATGACTGTTTTAGATAATGCTGCATTCTTAATGCAATGTTGAGTAGGAGCGATGAACGGGAGGAATTACTCAGCTAACGATCCAGATAGTCAGAAAGGAGAAAAGTGGTTCCAGCTATTAGTAAGTGAAAAAAACACTTGGAGCAAACATACAGAGAAATTCACTAAAATGCAGGAAAACTTAAAAAAAAATAAATCACCTTTGTTAATCTAAAACTTGCTCCAATTCTGCTTAGCAGGCTGCTGCACAGCTCCTTTAGTCTCTGCTTAGGTCTTCTTTCTAACCGCAGCGTCAGAAATCCCTGTAATAAAATGAAATTAATAACCAACCTGAAAAATGCTTTTATTTAGGTTACATACTGGTCATATTATGGACTTCATGTATATCTCAGACACATTACTAGTGGCAGGCTTAACTGAAGTCATTCCATCGGCAGCCAATCTGAAATTCAAATACAGCCCCCAAATTCTGGATATACTGAAAATGTATTGCTACTCATTTCAGAAGGTGAAAGTCATTTAGACTCATTACTGAGTGAAATATTATATTTATAT